CTCCTCGCTCCCTCTCTTTTCCTCCTCTCTCTCTCTCTCTCCAGAACCACAGTGAGTTTCGTGGCCTACTGCTGTTCCAGTCAGTGTGTTCGGACATTTCAGCTGCAACAATGACATCATGGTGCCTCCTCCTCTTCCTCTCCCTTCAGTCATCATCTCCAGAAGATAGAGGATGGATGTGGGAGTCTTCCAGTCCTGAGCCTCTTAGGAAGACATGCATAGCCTCTGGACTGGTGGACATGAAGAACTGAACCTCTGAGGAGGACATGCATAGCCTCTGGACTGGTGGACAAGAAGAACTGAACCTCTGAGGAGGACATGCATAGCCTCTGGACTGGTGGACATGAAGAACTGAACCTCTGAGGAACATGCATAGCCTCTGGACTGGTGGACATGAAGAACTGAACCTCTGAGGAGGACATGCATAACCTCTGGACTGGTGGACATGAAGAACTGAACCTCTGAGGAGGACATGCATAGCCTCTGGACTGGTGGACAAGAAGAACTGAACCTCTGAGGAGGACATGCATAGCCTCTGGACTGGTGGACAAGAAGAACTGAACCTCTGAGGAGGACATGCATAGCCTCTGGACTGGTGGACATGAAGAACTGAACCTCTGAGGAACATGCATAGCCTCTGGACTGGTGGACATGAAGAACTGAACCTCTGAGGAACATGCATAGCCTCTGGACTGGTGGACATGAAGAACTAAACCTCTGAGGAGGACATGCATAGCCTCTGGACTGGTGGACAAGAAGAACTGAACCTCTGAGGAACATGCATAGCCTCTGGACTGGTGGACATGAAGAACTGAACCTCTGAGGAGGACATGCATAGCCTCTGGACTGGTGGACAAGAAGAACTGAACCTCTGAGGAACATGCATAGCCTCTGGACTGGTGGACAAGAAGAACTGAACCTCTGAGGAACATGCATAGCCTCTGGACTGGTGGACATGAAGAACTGAACCTCTGAGGAACATGCATAGCCTCTGGACTGGTGGACAAGAATGAGTCAAGTGCTTTTTGTCTTTGTGGAGGAAAATCTATTTTGATAATTTCTATGGATTTTTACATGGCACTGGATGACAAAAAGTGTTTGAAGAATCTCACTTAGGCCGAATTGCATCCTAAACATCTGTTGTAAATATGTAGT